ATTATAACAAATACATATTATCGACATATTTATTTACTTTTTCATTAACCAATTCTAAAATAACTTTTTCAATACTTTTTTCTTGCTTTTTATAATCATCATAAAAATCATAAAAATCCGCATTTTTATATTTTGGAAATAAAAAAATCAACACTTCTAATAAAAATAAAATAATATTATTATCAATAAATTGAAAACTAAAAAAATCATCCCATCCGTCTTCATATAATTCTTTCTCTAGATGTAAACTTGATCCTTTCCAACATGTACCACACGCATTTTTAAACGCAATGGCTTTAAAATGCAATTGTTCCAAAGTAAACATACATTCCTCTCGCCGACCTTTAAAAGTTTTTATTTCATTTTTGAGTTTTAAAGGTGTAAGTATGCCATGTTTTTTTTTCCAGTTGATAGAACCTTTTATACGTGTATTTAATCCGTTCAAAAACTCTTCTTTTTTTTGAAAAGTTTCAAAAAAAGGTTCAAAGAAATTGCAAAATTTTAAAAAATCTTCATTTTTATAATCTTCAAATAAACTAGCAAAATGACAAACTTTTTCATACTCGTTAGTTTCGCCTGCAAGATGATAAAGAACGTCAATAACAAGACGATTTGAAATACGATTTGCTTCTTCAATGTTATATAGTTTCCAAAAGTATTCATCTCGAAATTCGCATTTATTGTGTTTGTAAGCTTTTTGCAACAAAAAATAGATAGAAACGGTTACGTTAGGTATAATGCTTTTATAATAAACTGCATCTGCTTTTAACTTTTCCAACACTTTTTTTAATTTTGTTTCTGTCATCATCTAAAAATGAAAATGTAAAATTATTTTTTATTACAAAAACATTTATTATAATCACAATGAGTACAACATGCATACAACGTATACAACTTGCGCAATTTTATCAAAGTTTTTTTTCTTAATTTTAATATTTTTTTTAGTTCTTTTACAACTGCTTTTTTTAATTGTTTATCAGGAAGCTCTTTAAATCTTTGAATTGTTATTAATAAATCTTGCGAACCACGATCACAAGCAAGTTCAATATTTTTAAGCAAAGCTAAATGCGTTTGAGTTAACGTTTCTTTATGTTTACTCGTTTGAAATTTCCAAAAACCATCTGTAAAATCTTTCACGAGCTCGTTTACCCATATTTTATATTGTTTTTTAACTGATTTTTGTATACATAATTGTCCAGTAGAATCTAAAACATAAGGTCGAATAAAATCGACTTTATACTGAAGTCGTTTATCAATCCATCCAGCACAAAAATGTTCAGGTGACACAATCAAATCCACATTTTTTGCACAACATTGCCCGTATAACTTTTTTTCTTGTTGACACCTGATGCTGCGAGGACAAAACATTTTGGTGCAAGATTTTCTGCCAGGACAAAACATGTTTTGTTGCTAAAAAAATACACTAAATAAATATAAAAGATTTTCTATTACTAGTCTAAAAAAAAATTTTATTCTATAAAAAATACAAATTTATTAAATCAAGTAAAACATATCAATATATAAATCAAGTTAAACGTTTGGTGGACAAAAACGAGGATAAAACATGTTTCGAATACAAAATACAAAAAATTTATTCCTCATTTTTTTTTATTGTACAGAGTTTGAGTTGTTCCAATTGTCTTTCTTTAATTTTAATGTTAAGATCGTGCAACCAGTCTGATCGATAGGTTGAAAACTGAATTTCACACGGTATTTGTCGTTCTATTAACCATTCGTAAATATCTCCTGAATACCAATACACAAAAAAATCTTGAAATGGAACATTGTAATATTCTGGAAATTTCTTTTTTAATTGATCTAAAATTATTAACGTTATGGGAATAGGAATTTAGTTCTTTTCCGTTTGTATAAAATTTTTCCACTCTTTGTCAAATTCAAGACCGCACGTACGACAAAAAGACAAAACTTTTTTTTTAATTTCATTTAATGTAAAACTTCCTTGTTTCTCGTAAAATTTTTTGTATCGTTGCATCATTAAACCAAAATCTATTTTAGTGATTTCCTTATAATAACAATTCCATTCGTTCCATTCATTAAAATCGGCAATCTGATCCATTTTTCCCATTTCTTTTTTTCTGTCTGGATGTGTGATGTATAAACCTTCTAGTTGCTCTGTAAAACAGTTCATTCTATTACTAATCTAAAAAAAATTTTATAAAAAAATACAAATTTATTAAATCAAGTTAAACATATCAATATATAAATCAAGTTAAAAAACACAAAAAAATTATGTTAAACATATAAATAAAGATAAATATAATGAATTAAATTGAAAATTTCAAAAGATATTTTTTCTTTATATTGATATAAATTTTTGTTCTTTATTCGTTTATATCTGGTATAATAACCACCAATACGAAGCATACTTTTATTACATTTTGAAATTAAATGTTTCAATACTTTTACATATAAAATTAACGCATCTTTATATTTTTGGTCAAGATAAAATGTTTTATGTTCGTACAATTCTTCTTTAAAAAGAATAACTAATCTTTGTATTTTCATATCCATTTCATTCCTTTTATCATTTTCAAACAAATCCGTTTCAGTAAATTCTTTTAAATCTTTAAATAGCGACAACAGTTCATCTTTTCCATATAAAAACATCTCCAGTGATAACCAATGCTTCATTTTTTTACTTGTCTAAAAAAAGTTATTCATACAAAAAAAGATAAATATAATCAATCAATTTAAAAATTTCACAAGATATTTTTTCTTTACAATTATATAAATTTTTGTTCTCTTTAAGGGGAAATACACCGCTAATGCGGAACATACTCTTATTACATTTTGAAATAAAATATGTAAACACTTTTATATATAAAATTAAATAGTATCTATATCTTAGATCACGGTATAATGTCTTGTGATTAATCAATTCTTCTTTAAAAAGAACATTTAAACGATTTATTTTAACGTTCATTTCATTCAAATCGCCTTCAAACAAATCTGTTTCTGTAAATACTTTCAACTCTTCTAACAAAGCCATCATTTCATCTTTTTTCCATAAAAAGGTAGCCAGAGCGTTCCAATGCTTCATTTTTTTTACTTGTCTAAAAAAAATTACAAAATTATATTTACATTAAAAAGTCATTTGAAACAATTCATAAAGTTCTTTTCGCATTTGTTTTCTAAAACAATATTGTATTTGAACAGCATTTGACACTTGAATATCACTTAAAGTAAAGAAACCAGGCAACAATTCCATTTCCTTTATTTGTTTTTCAAACAAACTGAACAATTCAACAATACTTTTATTACAAGCAACAATAATGTTTTTCAACAAATCCAAATAACTATTGGCTTGCTTTACATTATCTTTAGTCATTCGAAACTCAAAATCATTTAAACTTTTAGCTGGAAATTTTTTAATGCTTTTTTCAAATTGACGTTTCCATTCTTGAAATTTTATTACCAACTGTTGAAAATCATCTTCACTTTGTAAACGATATTTTAAAAGTTTAATAAGTCGAGCAGAATTACAAAAAAACCTTATTCTTTCCAATCCTTCTTTGTCTAATTCATTACTCAATATTTTTACCAATTCTTCTTTGTCTATTTCTATTACTCTATTGTCTATTTCATTACTCAAAAATTCCAACTCTTCTTTTGAATCTTTCCTGAGGTTGCCGAAACTCATTTTTTTTAGTTAAATCTAAAAAAAAATTTTATTAGTTAAAATAATTAACAACTTAACAATACATTTTCAATTTTTTTAGACAATTCAAATAAACCACATCGCAATGTTTTTTTTAAAGATAAAAGTTTTTCATTATCGCTTTCAAAAACAAAATCTTCTTTAATTGTTTTTTCTAGTTTTGCTTTTTTAGACGCACAACAATACAATTCGTCTTTTTTTGTTAAATACAATATTAAAGAGTTATCTCTTTCTTCATTTATTTTTTTTCCTTCAAGAATCTTTTCTTCTAAACGATCAATACCTTTATTGCCTTTGATAATCAAATTTAAAATCAACTTTAAATAAATATTTAAATTTTTTTTATTCGTCTTGTACGTATTCAAATCATTGTTCATTTCATTTGTGATCACTTTTTTTATTTCATTCATTTTGGTAACAATTTCAAACTGTTCTTCTACTTCCAAGGTGTCATCGTTGAAAAATTTTCGCAATTTATGTGCCAAATCCCAAACAACAGAGTTCACATTGCACACATTTGACCACAAACTCATTTTTTATTAGTAATCTAAAATACAAAATCATTAAACATACAAATTTTATATACTACATACTACATTTACATAAACTACATACTACATTTACATAAACATACAACTTTTTTATTTAATACTACATTTAACAAATAAATTATTTTCTACAATAAATTGATTCAAATGTTCTTTTGAAATAAAATGACAAAATCCCTTAGCAAGATTCATATCTTTTGTTGGTCTTTGAAAACTTTCACTGTCGTCCGTCATAAAATGTTTTTTAAATTTTTGTCCGTCTTTACCCAAAAGTGTCAAAGAAATTTTTTTTCCACTAAAAGGCCATTTTTGAATAGGATCATAAGTTGTTTTCATCATTACTACATACAACGAAGCATGATCGTAGTGTGCTTCCAATCCATTTAAATAAATTCGCATAATAAATTTATAATTTTTATAATAAAACGGTACACAGTGAAAAGCTGGAACATCCATTTTTCTTCTATTTTCAAAATCGTTAACAATCCATATTTTGCTATTGTAAGAAGTTTCTTCTAGTATTCCTATTCGAAATTCCAAATCCTCCATTTTTTTAGCATTGTCAATAGCAAAAATCTTTTCCATTGTGGATACGATCGAGTCTGTAGTTATAAAAATGCATTCTCCGTTTTTTTTATCTTCTTGCTTTTTCTCAGTTACTATACCCATTATTAGTTTATCTAAAAAAAAACAAAACAAAGAATAAAGAGACGGTAAAGACATCAAAGCAAAAACGTTTTTTCTTTGATTATCTTTGCCGTCTATTTAAAAAATTAATGTCCAGTAGATCCAAAACCGCCCGTTCTTTCTTCTTCTGATATCATTGATTGAAATTCCATTTCAATATTACCGTTCAGTCTTTTACAAATTAATTTTTCAGCTTTAAAAACGGGTACAAAAGTCATTTGAGCAATAGCTTGTCCTCGTTCAATACTAAAAGGTACTCCTGACGAATTAAAAAGAATATCTTTAATTTCATCTTTATAATCAGCATCAATTATACCAGGAGCATTTAATACTGTTATACCGTTATGCCAAGCCAAACCTGATTTAGGTGCAATTTGACCTTGCAAGCTATAATCCATTTCAATAATAGATACGCCAGTCGAAAACAAATCACGTTGAAATGGCATTAACATTTTTTTTTCAATGCTACGTAAATCAAAACCAGCACTACCTTTTGTTGCATAACAACACCAACCTTCTTGATCGCGTATTTTTATTATTTTCATCTAAAAAAAATTAACTACACATTAATTTACATGTTGGACAATAACAATGAAAATCGTCATTGGGATAATAAAAAATATTGCTTTTAAAAAAATAAACGTTACAAAAAAAACACTTGACAACTTTTTCAAAATTTTTTAAAAGTTCTTCATAATGTTGTAACTTAAATTCAAGCATGTAGTTCATATTTTTACACAAATCTAATTAATATTGTTGATCGAGATACTTGATAATAAAATTATCATTATTCCATATTTCGTTTTTTATCTTTTCGATAGCATGTCCAATTTTAATTGCGTCTTGATCACCAACCATCAAATCGGGTTTCTCAATAAAAATACCTTTTTTAATTTTATAAAGAACTGTTGAATTTAAATAATTTAAGGCTTCTTGCAAATTGTCAGATTTGTTCTCCATTTTTTTTGTACTAATCTATAAAAAAACAATTAAACTGTTATTATGAAAACATTTAAAAATTTTACGAAATTGTTTTAACAATATTTTTTTAGTTTTTTTACTATGTTTTAACAAACACATTAAACAATATTTTTTATCACACCAGAAACAATCGTATACATGAAAATAAAGTTTTTTACATTCTTTACAATCTTTAAAGTCGTCTTTAAATTTATCAAATCTTTTCAATTCGTAATCAGTTAAAAACGTGTGACAAATATCGACCTCATTCATTGCTGCTTTAAAATCATAAGATAGGATATTATTCCATAATTCTTCAGATTTTTTGTAGTCTGAACTTTTTTTTATTATGTTATCCCATGTTTCTTTAGATTTTTCGAAGTCTGATTCTTTAACTTTACTTGAAGGTTTGTTTGTATTTTCTATCGCCGAACATTTTATCAAGTTTGTGAAACCATCTTCTTCATGCATTTTAATAGTGTAATTTATAACCTCTCGAGTTATTTCTTCGTTAGTTGCATTGCCTTTTTTAAGTAGTTCATAACATTTTCTATTGAAATTTGAAATAGTTTGATAAGTAATATCTTCTATTACTTCTCCACGAAACATAAAAAACATTTTTCAGTTTTCGAATGATTTGTCTTTTTTTTCTTTCCTTTTTATACAGAAAAATGAACAAAAGATGACCATAAAAAGTATAATCTACTCATTAAAGATCTTATCATAGATTAAAATTTCAACTCTTAAAATTTGAAAAAAAATACCTTTTACATTAGATCATAAACTATATATAAAAAACGGGTCATTACTTAAAAATTTCAAATATTTGAAAAAAAAAATACCTTTTACATTAGATCATAAACTATATATAAAAAACGGGTCATTACTTAAAAATTTCAAATATTTGAAAAAAAAAATACCTTTTACATTAGATCATAAACTATATATAAAAAACGGGTCATTACTTAAAAATTTAAAATATTTGAAAAAAATACCTTTTTCATTAACTCATAAACTATTTTTATAAAAAATAGGTCATCTCTTAAAAATGTAAAGTATCTTTTTTTAATCTTTTAATTTAAAAAGCGTATATAAAGAGACACTTTTTTTCATTTATTCATAAAAAAATGGACAAGTCAAGCAATTTACAAATTAATTATTGCAACGAACAAAATTATTTAAAATTTGCCGATATGGCAGGTTTGACTTTGTGGCTCTTGGATTTAACTCGCGAAAAAGATCTTAAAGAAGGACAATATTCTAAAGTACCTATTAAACCTGTAGCACAATTTAATATCTTAAAAAGAGAGTTGGTTTATTCCAATAAAACAGAAGAAGAGTTTATTCTTTTGCCAGCATATATTAGAAAACGGTGTTTGTTATCAGAAGACAAAATAAACTTTTTATATCGATCAGAAATAAAATTAAGCAAAGATGATGTCAACTTTAAAAATGCTAAAGGTGAAACCAATTACAATACTATTCTCAGCGTCGACAACGACACTAAAATAACTAAAAAATATTTAGAATTTTTATTGCCTAATTTGGAAAAAATTCAAAATAACGGATACATTTTTGCTTATAACAAAACAAAAATACTCAAGACTATGCCAACAGGACTCAACATTCGTTTATTAAAAGACGACGAACAGCTATTTTATAACGAGTACGATAGACTTGCATCAGTTGAACCCATTATGGTGACAAACTTGCACAAAAACGGACAAACAAAAAACTTTAATCAAAATTTAAAACGTGCTGCTGAACATTTAGCCAATCAAGAAACAAAAGAATTTAAAAAAGTGAAAGAAGAGCCAGACGATAAAATAAACAACGAAGAAGAATAAATTTTTGTATTTTTATTATTTAAAAAAAAACTAGTTTTACAAATTTAACCTGTTTTTTTTATTTGTTCCATATAAATGATGTCATTATTTTTTAAAAAAATATAAAAACAGCTGGCAAATTTTTTAGCTTTCATTTTAAAAATTAAAATGACAAGCGAGCAAGTGAATAATAAAGTATATATAAAATATATAGAAAAAAAAGATTTAAAAAAAAGTCAATGTCAGCTTTAGAAAATGCTGTAAAACTTTTTTATCCTGATAACGAATTGCATCCTATGCTATACGAATTTCATCATTTAAACACTACTTTTGAAGAATGGAAAGACATTATTCAAACCTATTTAAAAAAATGGGATTTGCAGTTGCTATTGCCAGAAGAGGATTACGTTTCTTTATATTTTATTTTCATTGCCAAAGATTATGAAAACAATCAAGATTTATTTGCAAAATCAACACGTGAATATTTTACAATGGATATACAAAATCAATCATGGCGAAACGACATGTATCGTTTATGTCTATCGATAAATCAAATTTTTTTTCAAATAATGGAAAAAAACGAAAAGTATAAAGCTGCACAAGATCAATTGGAACATTTTATTCAAATTTTTAAACGTTATTATCAAAATAACCCATTCCTACATTCAGATTCAGCGTGGAAAAATAAAATAAAAACAAACTTTAAATATTATTTTTTGTTTCCGTATTTATTAAAAGAACGTTTATACGAATACGATTTATTAAAAAAACAATATTTGCATCTCGATGAGATTATTTGTCCATCATTTAACGACATACTGCTTCATAACGGATTTTACACTTTATATACTCCAACGCCCATTTATCATTTTTTTAAAACAGAAAAAGTAAAACAATGGAACGACAAGGTGCTCATCTACAAATCGTTTAATCAATGCAATTTTTACGAAAAAGGATTAACAGATATGTTTCCAAACGCCACTTGGTTTTATTTTTTTAAAAGAAACTTTAACATTTCAATGATTTTATATAAAAAAGACAATCAGCTTATTGATTATACTAAACAAGAACCCGTATCAGATCGTCCTGTTCATAAAACCTGTCATTTTAATATGTATTATATAAACGCTTTAGAGGGTTTTTAATAAAAAAAAATTTTAAATTATTCTTTTTTTACTTGTATACAATATACATTATTATTTAAATAAAATATATTATTGAAACATTGGCATTTTTTTTCAACTTTAATACATTTTTTATTTTCTTGTATTAAATGCACCAACTCTTTATATTTTTCTCGACATTCGTGTGATGGTGCAAAACCATAAATGAAATCGTCCAAATACAAATTTAACATTTTTGTTTCATATTTAGGACAATGTCCTAAAATCGATTTTATATCTCCACATTTTATATGTTGAAAATGCGAATCACATACATATTCGTCATAGTAATAGTTCATTAATTCTACTCGTGGAAAACCGAGTTTGTTTAAATCAAAATAATAAACAGTGGTTTTACACTTGATGGCTTGCAAAACATTTTTTTCTATTTGTCCACCTTTGTAAAAAACGACATTGGTATGAAATTTTGAAAAATGTTTTGACAAATAATATGACACATCTGCACAAAAAATGGAATCCGAGTTACATTCGAGCGATGGATTATATTCGAGTCCGTGCAGGTGATGGCGGCAATATAAAAACACGTCTTGATGTTTTTTTTCTAATTTTACATAAGACATGCAAGGCCAAACTTGCACGTGAAAATTGTCATCGTCACTTGCTGATCTTAAACATATTTCTCTTATGCAATTATTCCCCCATTCGTGCTCTTCTTTAAAGTTATTGGTAATAAATTCTATATCCAACAACCAAAACTAAAAAAATAAACCTATTTTTATAAAAAAGAAACATGCTTTTTTAAAAAAAAATTAAAAAACATATAAAAAAGCTCATAAACAAAAAAAAATTTATAATTAGTATAAAAAAATGAATCGAGTTGACAGTATCATCAAAAAAATTCATAACAATTGCGCTGTATGCGCGTTAGACGAAGTTGCTAAACGATACAAAAGTCAAGAATGTAAATCTGGAAATTCATCACCTTCTTCCCTTGTTATCGGAGAAGAACATTATACAGATCCAAATTCAAACGCTTTTCTTGAAAACATATTAAGTTCAAAAAGAATATCGCTCAATTCACATTATATAGAAAAATGTTTTGAAAACAGTCAATTTAAAAACTTGTTAGAACATCCTCAACTTTGTCTTTCTCACTTGGAAAAATTTGACAAATTGGAAAAAGAATATGTTAACGAAAACGTCATTGCCGAATACTATAAATCAAAGCTGACCGTTTTATTGCTGGAAAGAGATATCAAAATGACTCCAACAGAAGGTGATCAAACCGACGGTTTTGTTGATACTTTTACATCAAAAATATTATCTACCGTCTCTACTATAATAGATAAACTAGATGGAGCTTTAAAAAAGAAATATGTTAAAAGAAACATAGAAGGCATAATAAAAGACGGAACGTCGGATAAAAAAACTTTATTTGTAAACATATTACACGCTGTTGTCACTTTATTTATTTCAAGTTTTTTTAGCTTAGAAAAAGAAGAAGAATAAAAAAATGTGTACAAACGATTCGTTGTCTCGTTATTTTAGTCAGCCCCTTTTTAAAGATCGCTTTATAGGAGTTTACGCTTTTGACGAATTAAGTCAAACAGAAACGCACGTGCGCATTATTAAACAAATGATGAAAAATGGTACTTTTATTATATATAATAACGAAACTACCAAAGAAAAACATTGGAGAGCTTTATTAAAAATAGATACTAACCATTTTTTTTGTTTTGATAGTTTGGGAGCAGAAAGCGCGCTTCAACAATTACCTGCTTTTTTAAGATACAACCGACATTTGTTTGAAACCGTAGACGAAGTACAAACAAACATACAAATTAATACCATCAATTTAAACTATAACGAAATTGAAATTAGTTCTTATATACGACAAACTAACCATTTTCGAAAAGAATGGACAGCTGACAATCACGAATTTTATTGGTTTACAAAATTTATTATCAAATACAGCGCAATGACCGGAGAACAAAACATTTTATTTTCTTATAACAAATTTTGTTTTCAATGGAACGACAGTAGTTTATGCGGTGCTTTTGCAGCCTATTTTGTTACCCTTTTGTTTCGTTCGCCAGATTTTATATACAGCAATGAAATTTATTTACCTTTATTGTGCAGAATGTTGAACTTTCATTTCTTTGAAATTTCATCTCTTCATGCTTCTGACTTAGCGCAAATAAATCTAGTTCCATTTTTTCACTTTATTAAAAAAGACTTGTATCGATACCTTGATGATATAGCTAAACGACTTTTTGAAAACGATATCAAATTGCATCTTTATTTAAGGGAACAAGAAAGACTGGAACGCAATCTATTAAAAATCAAAACAAAAGAAATTCCTTTAGATTATGACATTTACGAAAAACAAGTCCTAACCAATAACAAGATTAGAAATTATTTAAAGGATGGCTTGTTATTACGAACCAACAACGATTGTCAATGGGACAAAATATCAATACAAGATATTAATGTCATTCCTGCCATTCTTAACGAAGAAAACATTTATTTAATGCAAAATGAAAATATGCTTAGATATTATTACAATAATATTCGCAGATTATCAACCTTGAACGATTTTATTGATAGTCCTTTTGATGATGTCATGACTCAAAAACAAATAAAAACTCTGGCCATGCAAAACATGTTA